CCCTCTATCTTTTTTTGTCAGGTGTGAACCGGGCCGACCGTGGTGATGACGTGGAGGAGGTCTGACTGAGGCGGGATCACTAGCTATGTCGGTTAGGTTAGGGAATGATGTCGCGCAATGCATACATCGTTAAAATCTTACTGCTATGAAATAAAAAGGGGAATTAGACATTGGGTTAACTCCAAGAACACTTTCTTTTATTGCTTTATGGGTATTCTGTTTTTACTATTCGAACTACCGATGTATTTGGGATTACGAGACAAAATGATTATCTTCTTGATTGGATTCCTGACCACTAAGGCGGGTATTATCTCCTGAATATTCTATTATTGTGTACCTCCATTTTGTTTTATGCATTAGGAGAACATTACATTTTTGTTACTTTAAATGGGAGGGTTCAGTAAGCATTATAGGGTCGTTACCTCGTTAAACGTGTCAGAAATCTTGGTCGTTACATAACAGATTCAGCAAAACATTGTTTCGATTCAAATTAAGCTTTTTTAGATGAACTCTAACCCGTGTTTAGTTGTTTTTGGATTTAGGAACCATTCGGTCAGCTTAGTAGTGCGTTAGGACCTTGGTTTTAAGTTGTTCTTAGTTGGAGGATGTTTGTTGTTTGAATATGTATGAATTATTTGTTGCTTTTGGTGTGTTTATTATTTGTTAATATTTAAGTTGATTATATCTTTCTCAATCTTGGCTAATGATTATGAGTAGTTTGGACGAGATCATGTTTGTCCTGGTTGTTTATAATTAAATTGTTTGCGTTGTTGGATTTGATGCTTTGTGGTATTTTTTATGGCATTATCGATTATGAATGGTTCTATCATAGTATGGTTGTGTTCATTAAAGAGTACTGAAATAATTTGGGATAAATCAGTTATGTTGTGCATGTATGTTGGACACGTCGTTTCATTATTAGTTTACTGTTTTTGGTTCTGGAAGCATGCTGGTTTTTCTTGTGAGTTAAGTGCTTCATGGGTCATGGCTTAGAAGGCATGTAGTAGGACTCTGATGAGAGTTGGGTTCTGTAATGAAGTGAATGGGTGACTATCAAAGCCTGGATGCTGATACGTCACTAGTTAGGTGCCGAGGCTCCGGCTACAAAGGTCA